CGTTCGTTTGAAGTTTTAGTGTTAGGTCAGACATTCACCGCGGTGATGCATTCACCGCTTTCGTCTGTATTTTTGGAATTTTTCATAAAACATGTGTATTTTGGGAATTGTTTTTAAAAATATGTGTATTTTGGAATTTTTCTCCTTGAAACTATTGAGTCAACTCTCATTAAAACACTACACTTACGAGCTATGAAAGTAAATTGGACTTTATAACCAATGAGGTCTTATTTCCATAGCTCTATGCAAAAAAAAAAAAAAAAAAATTCTAGTTACATAATTACCTCATATGCAACACCATTTTACGCAACACTTTCAAAAATTTATGCAACACTTTTTGAAAAGTATAACCAACATGTATATGTTTTATTGTCACATAAGATATATTCAATTGTGAAAACCTTCATTTGTAACGACTAGTATATACTTGTGACTCATATGTGTCGTCATCAAATGCATCTTAAACGCCACCAGTTTAAGTTATCACAATGCCCCACCTATACCGGAGTAGAAAGGTGGCTTTTGTAACAACTTTATTGTTACAAAATTAGGTTTCGTCACAAAGTTATCTTTAGAGAAGTAACAACAAGTTTTTAAATCATTCATATGATACATTTGTTTACAATAGCCGTTATCATCAACCAACATAGTTGGATCTAATGTTCCCGAGTATAGTATACTCCATGTGATCTGGTCGTTGGATGAATTTTGATGAGCTTGATAAATCTCAATGCTCAATTATTGTTTTCTATTTAATTGAACTTCGGGTTTGATTTTAGAGAATTGGGGTCAGGGGTTTATCCATTAGAGGTCAGCGTATAATATCATGCCCCAAACTCGGTTTAATTCACGGTCTACACAAAGATATCTCACTAGGAGTACTTGGAGTATAATATACTCCAGGAGTACTACATACACCAGATTTTGCCTGGTGTACAAGAGAACTATCTCTATATATATATATATGGTGGCTACTTCGGTGCACTCACTTTTTTGGGTGCACTCAGTGCAGCCAACTCTAAAAGCGTCCATAATACATCGATTTTGAACTTTAATTAGTACTCTCAATATAATATGATGATATGACATAGAATCATAACAAATCAATCCATTACCCTATCCCCTTAACCTTCAATTTTGAATCCCAACCCCGAAATCCCAAATTGTAAACCTAAACCCTAACCCTAAATCCCTAATCCTAAATCCTTCGAATTAAAGTGAATTTGGAATGAATTTTTTTCAAATTTATGTGCTTCTTGTTCATAATATCATAAGCTACAATTGATACCGTTTTGATATGAATCGCATGCTCAGAATGATAATTATGAGGCGGGTGCACTGAGTGCACCCGAAAAAGTGGGTGCACCGAATACGCTACCATATATATATATATATGGCAAAGGCTAGCGTACGTCAGTCGTACGCTGTACGCCTGTGTTCACACTTGGTTTTTGCACTTCAATATATTTCGCTGAATCATAACCGTCGATTATTATTTTTTAGATTAAATGAATCTCGTGGCTTGGGTTAGAGAATTATGGACTGGGGTTTATCCATTAGAGGTTAGGGTATAGTATCATGCCCAAAATTTCGCTTAATTCCTGCTCTAAATAGTAAAACTCGACTGGCGTACAGCGTACGACTGACGTACACTAGCCTGAACCATATATATATATAATAGTATCTGTAACGATTATGAATTGTTATTCATAGTATACATTAGTGACAATCTAATTCGTGATCAAAAACTTTTTTTAATGACAACTAGTGTCTTGACCAAATTCAATAATGGTGAAGATTTGACTCGACGCCAATATATATTGTTTGTCACATAAATTGTCACGTATATATTTTTGTGAGTCTGATACTTCTCATATGAGCCAGTTACATGTAGTGATGGCAATGGGGCATGACGGGGTGGGTACCTCAATATCCATGTCCCGACCCATATTACTAAGATCGGAGAGGGTAATATCCGCGCGGGTATCGGGATGGGTCGACCCATTTTTAGATGCTATTTGAAAAAAAATGTACGCAAAATATTACTTTTTACGATAAAATAATGGGAAAGACTCTTTATGAATGAACATTAGTGATAATATAATAGGTAATTGAGTCTACTTAATTGAAAGATCAAGTCTAATTAGTTGAAGAAAAGTCAAAATAGAAGAAATATGAATAAAATGACAAGAAATCGAGATAAAATGGATAAAAAACGAGGCAAGGCGGGTTAGGACGGGTCGGAAGTAGATACCCATACCCCGGCCCACCCTAGTACGGATTGAGTGATACTCGCCCCATCACGGATTAGATCAGGTAATAACCAACGGGGCAGGTTCAAATTGTCATCCCTATTTACATGTCGAGACGTTCTACACTCCCTTATCCCTTTAGTACCTCTCGATCTTGGGTAATTTCTTAGAATCACAAAGTTAATGCCAACAACCGTTCCATCTTGGTGATAGGCATCGCTACATTTTGATTTAACACATTTCTCTAGTTGTATTTTCAATTGTGAATTCATTTTTTAAATCTTCATTTTTTCTTGACGAGGAAATTATTGTGTTTGAATTTAATGATTTGCACCTTGACTTCTTGACAACTATTAATATTACACGGTTCACTCTTCTTCGAACAATATTCGAATGAGGGTGTTTGATATTTTTGATGGATTTTCGAAAGCAAATTAATTACACCTACTTTTATAGAGGTTCAGCGAGAGCTCCAAAGAAAAAGATAAAGTTTGACATCGTGTGTCAAATGTTTGATTGTGGAACCCTTTTACAATCTTAGCTTCTCCTATTTATAGCCAAGGTGTAACTGGCTTGGTAACCGCCTTGGTAACGGCTAGCTGGCCTGTTGCCCCATCGTCCTTAGGGACCCTTTTTCGCCGCCTTGGAAACCAACTGAAACCGTCGCCTTGGTGTTGACTCCTATTGCTTTGGGGCCTCTTACCCGGCCTTGTTGATTGGTTGGCACTTCATGGCCTCGAAGCCAGGTAGGGTTGGTGTTGAGTATTGTTGACATGTCTTGACTGGATGAGGTTGAAGCTCTTCGCCTTGCTCCATGACGAAGTCTTGAACTCTCCGGCTTGATACCCTTGTGCTACCAAGCCAGGCATGTCGGCCCCTGCTACCAAGTCAGCACTGCCGGCTTGGTTTCCATACTTAGTTTTTAGAATCTAATCAAGTTGGTAACTTGTCGCTCTGCCAGCTTGGTACCCCGTTAGGGGCCAGCAAGCCTCTCTTGGCACTTAGTCTCCATATCCCCCCCCCCTCCCCCAAACTAAGGGGATTTACACCAAGTCATAATCAAGTTGACAACCTCTTAGCACGGCATCCTGGATGGCCAGGCACCGCCTCTAAGATTTCATACTTAGCATTAAGGTTATAAGGATGGTCCATGGCGGCTTGGTACCCAATCAGGTGGCCATCTAATCTGGCCATCTTGTCACCTCAAGGGTTGGCACAGTTTGATCTTCATACTTAGTTTTTGGGAGATGTAACTTGATATCAAGTCTCTCTTGTCGATTTGATATCCATACTTAGTTTCTGTATGGCTCTCTTAACTGGTACCCGTCTTGGTACCATGTCGCCTTGCTACAAAGCATGTCTTGTCAGTTTGATACCCCTTGGCTCCATACTTAATCACTTTTCATATAATAACTACAGCAAGTTATTATACACCATATGTCATCTTAACTTCAAAGGTGTTAAGGTTGTAATCAACCATTTGTACTTAAGTCTAGAATCAATGCAAAGGTTGTAATATCACTACACAAAAAACAAAAACAAAATATATAGTATAATTAAGTACCTAACTAATTGAAACATATAGTTTAAATTAACTACATATATTCACTAAGTTAATAAAAAAGCTTATTTACCATGGTTGTCACGCCGACCGGCGTGCCACTGGTTGAACCTGGTTCATACGGTATCGGTCATAAAATCGGCTTGACACCACTGGTATAACCGGCATGATCGATATACGAATCTCTAAGTAAAATGATCTTAATTTAGTAAATTTAATTCATAAAAATTAATTTATTATTTATTTTATGAGTTTAAAAGTTAAATTTTGATGTTATTTGTTGGATTCAAGTACAAATGTTTAGGTATTGACGTTAAATGTCGTGTTAAAATGTGAGTATTTGTAAATTATTTGTAATATTGACCGACATGAATCGACATAAACCGGTTTGTACCACCGGTCGAACCATTTCACTTGCTAAACCGGCACACTAGTATGAACCGGTTTGACAACCTTGTTATTTACATATCTCGAATTTGCCATAATTTATAGTGGGTTAAGAGATTAAATATTGAAAAAATTGATGTGAGAGTTGAAAATGGTGGAGGAGGGTGTAAAATTTAAAAATATTGTAAATTATGTGTGAAAATGAGATATATATGATGATCTCCTATTTATAGGTGACAAAATCTTACCTTTTTTTTTTTTTTGGTTTTCTCGTCGGGGATGTTATCATTTATTGATTTTTGATTTTGCAGCAGTTGAAAGTTAGATCAAGGCAGTAACAAGCTCAATTGAGGCGTACTCTCCTCAGTTGACTTTATAGCCACCTTATTTCCACTACTAACGACGGGAGTCCCTCTAAATTGAGTTAAAATATGCCCCATAAACCTAAATTTGGGCAAATGCCCCAATTGCACTAAAACCCACAATAGATTTGTAATTACTTGTTGCGTGAGCTATGTTTTGAAATTATTTTTTTTAAAAATATATTATTTTCGTAAAACCTTAAAAGGTCTCCCTTTGATAGTATTGCCATATAACAAAGTGACAAGCAAGAAAAATGAATGTCCGAAATAATAGTTGTTCATCATTGGGGAATTTGGGATACCTAGTTTGCTACGCGCGCGGGCATCAAACTGAGCTTCCAAGGTGCCTACCCGCCCAACGTCCTCAGCATCTAAGAACTATCGCCGCCCCTGCCGGCCCTTACATATAAAACTCACATACAATACAACCTTCTTATTTCCGCCCGTCCCATTGATAATTAACTTCTCAGCGCGTCATTAATTATCCTAAAACCAGTGATCAGTCCTCAAAAGAAAACACAAAATCCCCTAAATGGCCCAAACTCCCGGTCGCCGCCGCCGCCGCCGGATGGTAGTCCGCATCGTGTACCCAGGCGGCCACGTGGAGCTCCACGACGCTCCCATTCTGGCCGGAGAAATCACGGCCAGGCACCCGAAATGCGAGGTGGCTCGCCCGGACGTGTTCCGCCAGCCGCTGTCGGCCGTGGTCTCGCCGGACACGACCCTGATGCTGGGCCAGAAATTCTACGTCGTACCCACGAGCACCATCAGGAAGCTTCAGAGGAAGTTCGCGAAGCGCAACCCTAATGCCGGCGCGGCCGGCGCGGCCGCCGCCTCCAGCTCTCCTGCCGTAGTTGATGGCAATAATATCATTCCTCGCTATGTATATGGTAACGAGAAAAGAGCCGGCGGGGATCCACGGCGGCGGAAAGTCGGCTGCTTTAGTTGCTTCACCAACTTGATTAACGGGAATGTCACCAAGGACAAGTCTGGCGAAAGTTATAGCTTTAGTAACGATGATTATCGTATGGGTATCGTTAATTGGAGCGGAAGTGGGAGTGACAGCAGCGGCAGCGGCAGCTTTGGGTCGCCGGCGGAGAAGTTCTTAGCGTGGAATGATAGTACAAAGAGTAACTACTATAATAATAAGAAGATGAAGAAGAAGAAAAGGGGTTCAGGTGGTGGGGCTCGTCAGCCGCCGAAGAGAGGTTTTGGTTTTGATGGTTGGACGCCGAGTCTGGAGAGCATCACAGAAGAATAGAGATGTGACCTTGGCCGGACGGAGATGTTTCCGACGACGACGTCGACATCGGATCTGAATTTCTGACCTTTATCTTATCTCAGAAGCTGGTATTTAGAGATGCATGGTTGGATGTAGCGGTTGTGATTAGAATTTGAATGTATTGCTTGTGAGACAAGAAATGTGAAATAATGTAGCCGAAACTGAAATTTTGATTTGGTGCCTGCATGGATGGTTTAAGTAAAATTGGGGTTGGTTGGTGTTGATATGTAGTTTTGATTATCAATGTGGAATAAAATACCAGAATGATTATGAACTGTTATCGTGCGATTGTCAAGTGTGCTATAATGGAGAAGGCTAGAAGCCATTGTTGTAAAAAAAAAAAAAAAAAAAAAAAATTGGATTGTTTTTTCTAAGCATTTGCTCTTCCCACATTTTTATGGCTAAATAATGTTAATTAAATCAAAAAATTCAAAGAAAAGTAGTAAATAGTAAGTATGTATTTTTTGTACAATCATATTTTTAATTTATATCATCCGCGTCACGTCTTACATCTTATTCTTTTCCTAATCGTCATGGCAGCGGGTTCTCGATCTGTCGTTCGGACGACAAACACTCCATCCTCCACCATCCCAGCTACAATCATATCAAGAACCGGAAATTGAGCTTCGCTAATGATGGCATCTCACTCCTTCATATAAGGGAATATAATCCCTAGATATCTTCTCTTTCGATTGAACAAAGTGTGTTCTTTTCCCATGTTCTAAAATCGAGCACCACTCGTTATCTTCTTCTCCTTCGTTGAACTTTTTTTTTTTGACAAAAGGTAATCAAAATATTGATCAAAGAAACAGAGATAGTTACATCCTGGAGTTCAACCAGGCCAAAAAATCAAAAGAACGACTTGTAGCCGGGTACAATCGAAGGGCCTTTTTAGCCACCAAATGGGCTACCCTATTGCTACTCTGACCTACAAATCGTACAGAAAATCTATCCAACAATTCCAAACACCCCCACAACTTCCTCCAAGAGCTCACCAATCCGACTATCCCTGGCATTCGACTGATTGATCTTATCAATAAGCACCTTAACATCCCCTTCAAAGCTCACCTCCGTAAAACCAGAATCCTTACACCAGAGAACAGCCTCACGGAGAGAGCACCTTAGCCACCAAATGATCATCAATCCCTCCAAAGTGGACTCCATGAGCTCGGAGAATTGCCCCTGCCCTATTCATGATAATCATACCACCAGCTGAATGGGAGGCAGTCTTAGTTGCCCCATCCCACCTACAAATTATCGGGCAGTCCGGGATCTCCACCACTTGCGTAGCAGCAGCCGGCTGCGGCCTATCAACTGGCAAGCCCACCCACTCCAGATACTGCTGGTGGACACCCAACGTATTTTAGCCCGATCATTCTCTACCCCCCACCAAAAGTGGGCAACGTGCTTATCCAGGAGTCGGCAAAGCGAAAGAGGTAGCATGAAGCATGACATAACATGGAGCGGTAAGGCCATAACCACCGATTTAATTAGAGTCTCCTTCACTGCCCAAGACAGAGTCCTACGCTTCCAACCATGCAGACAAACAATCAACTTCTCCTCCAAATAGCGAAAGGTCTCCATTTTGGACCTAGCTAGCAGTGTTGGTAATCCCAAATATTTCTCATGGACTCTCACCGCCCCCACTCCAAGAATCTGGCCCAAGAACTCTTTGTCTGGCAGAGCGATATTCTTGCTAAAGCAAATCGCTGACTTTGCTAGATTCACTCGTTGACCACTGAGTGCCTCATATTCATTCAGCACAGTTATCAAATTCTCACATTCCTGAAGAGAACCCCGAAGAAACAAATAAGAATCGTCTGCAAATAATAAATGTGAGATTAGAGGGGATTTTTGTTGCCAATAGACCTCCTCAGCTTCCCATTGCCTATTCAAATCAGTCTCGAGAATCCTTACCGCATCCCAATCAATTGGGAAGACCAATTTGAGCCTCTCAATTTCCGCCTGGAGAGTTCTGATATTCTTGAGAGAGTTAGTGGTACCCGCTCTACTCCAATCATACAAAAGATGTCGAAGTTTCTTCAGTTTTTCCCAAAGTTGGTAAATAGGCGTACCAGTGATGTTTACTTGCCAAACATAAGCTACCATAGCTCTAACCTCTGGGTTCTCAGCCCACCGAGTATCAAACTGGAATAAAGATATACTATGACGGACATAGGATTTATCTGATAAGAGCAGGGCTCGATGGTCTAACCCTTGGTCTGTGAAATGCTAGACAAGGGTGTTCGGGAACATATCAATCCAGGATTGCGAGCAGAGAGCCCTATCCAGGCGTTCTCAGATACAGGCATCCCCTATCATTCTATTAGTCCAAGTGAACTGGTCTCCATGGTATCCCAGATCATGGAGGCCCAAAGCGTTAATAAAATCCCTGCGATAATTTGCTTGCGCCGTATTCCACGGATTCCCACCATCCTTTTCACTCGCTTGGAGAGTCACATTGAAATCTCCCAAAATCATAAAGGGCAACGCAAGATCAGTACAAACTTCGTTAAGCTGACCAATTGGCTAGCCCTTATTAAATCCACACAGCTAAAGTAGACAAAAGCCATGATATAGGAAAAGTCTATTTCATTAAGACGAACACAAATTCAGAAGTTTAAATGGAAACAACCGAAGCATTGAATTCGGGGGACCAAGAAAATAGAAGACCTCCTAATGCATTGACTGCATCGACAAAAAACAATGCGAATTATCAAAACCTAATCCTCGCATACGGCGGGAGACTATCCTCCGGCGCGATCTTGTCTCTGAAAAGAAAACAAAGTCCGGTTTATTAGAATGAACTAACCCAACAACAGTTTGGAACGTTAGGGATGGTCCAATTCCTCTCACATTCCAGGCTAGAAGCCTTATTTATCAACTAGGGGCCACTCAAGGCTGGCTTCCTCCACCTTTTCTTCATTCTCCAAAACTTCCACAAATTATTTTTTGGGCGAGGGTCCATCTCCCATCACACCCTCCACCTCCTCTAGGTGGCGCTTACGGCCACCAAAAGATGGGTCCGACAAATTGGACCCATACTCATCCACCACCGTGCCAGACTGCTCGTCTTTTCCCGGGACACCTTGCGCGATAGCCGTCTCGGCTTCCACTCTCGTGCTAGTTAGGGACAGCCCAGACTCAAACGCCGCCACAACCTGGTGGACATGACCCTTCTCGGCATGGCGAATTCTGGCTCCAGCCTCCTGAGGAGAGCGCGGCTTCAGTTCAAAGGACTGGACGTCATCATCAGAGGAGGAGTCTATCGGGGTATGGGTGGTCAGGCCTTGGTGTGGATTAGTTCCTTCCACACCACTCGATGGCGCCATAGTTGGATCCATGGAGGTGACCGCCGCTTGTTCCAACCCCTTCAGATTTGGCTGAGCCGGAGGGGCATTCCCCTTTCCCAAATGGCGCTTCCCCGTCTTCGAAGCCGGAGAAGGTTTGTGTCAGAACAAAAGCGTGGCAATCGATAATCCAAATCAACACGAACGAACACAAATTTAACGTGGTTCACTAACACAATGTGTGCTAGCTAATCCACAGGCAGGGGAGAACAAATTTCACTAACTTGAGGAGAGTACAAGTTACAAACCAAATTCCAAATGCACAAACCAAACAAACTAACCTGACTGACCTTACTACAGACTAGGGTGATGAAGAGTATTTATAGAACTCTTCTCCTAATCCCAAACAGAAAATCAAATACTTTTTCCCAAACATACAAGGAAAAGGTCAAACAAAGCCCAAACACAAACCCAAACAAAATAGGCCCAAAACACAAAACAAACCCAAATCAAATTCAAGTCACATTCTAACAATCTCCACCTTGACTTGAATTCTCTGTCAAATACCAGATGTACCAGACGCAACCAAAGTTGCCAGATGTACCCAGACGCGATACATATCCCCATACGTATCCAAATGCGATCGAAACCGCCAAACTCAAACGCAATCAAGATTGCCAGACATATCCAAATGCGATTCATATCGCCAGACCAAACGCGATGCAAATCGCCAAACTCATATGCAATCAAAATTGTCAGATGTACCAAACTTCTCCAAATCAGTTGTACCAGAATCTCCCCTGCCTCCAGATGCCCCTAAGGGCGGTCAACAAATCAAAACATGCAGCAAGTCCAACCCATGTTGGGACTTGCCATGCAGAACCGGCTTGGTGTTATTTCCGTCCATAACACCAACATCAAATTTACTGCTAACTCCCAGCCTGCAACTCCGAATTGACTTCTCAATCTTCAAATTAATAGCAACCATTCTTACTATCAAACAAACTCCAACCAAACTCCACAAAGCAAAACTTCAGTCTAGTGCCAAATTCCTAAAACCGCAACCAAAGGCTCTGATACCACTTGTCAGAACAGAAGCGTGGCAAGCGATAATCCAAATCAACACGAACAAACACAAATTTAACGTGGTTCACTAACACAATGTGTGCTAGCTAATCCACGGACAGGGGAACAAATTTCACTAATTTAAGGAGAGTACAGGTTACAAACCAAATTCCAAATGGACAAACCAAACAAACTAACCTAACTGACCTTACTACAGACTAGGGTGATGAAGAGTATTTATAGAACTCTTCTATCAATTGGATTCGAGAAAGCTAGAAGAAATTTTTTTAAGTGTGGGGGTGGGGGTGAAGGCATCGGGAACACCGACGAGAATAACATAATTGGGTGAAGAGTGGATGGAGACCTGTTGGAGCTGGTCGCTCTCATTGAAGTGAGCTAAGTGAGATGCTTCCAAATCCTACAGATGCGAAAAGCAAACAAAAAATCCTCATAAGGTCTCCAAAGCTGCCATCGCCTCTTTTGATCTCCTTCATCGAGAAATCCAGACTGTTGCAGGAGAGTTTGAGAGCCTTTAGAGGAGAGAAGTTGAGGTTGCGACAGTGTGTGGTGGGGAGGGTGGGAGAGAGAGGAGGAAGACGCGAGCGGAAGCATCAATGGTGTAGTATAGTAACATAGTCGCTGAGGTGAAGAATTGTCCCCGCGGAAATCGCCATCGTCTCGGACTGGATTGCTTTTGTTTCTAAAGGACTTAAAAAAATTAAATATTTTAAAGTAAAATGTGATGTGTCATTAGCATGTTACATGAGGCTGAGTTGTCACTGACGTGTGGTTGATTTGGCTTCCTAGTCAGTGTACCATTAAAGTAACTGGCGGTGTCTCTAACACCATTAAAATTTGTAACAAAAATGACTATATTTGTCATACAACTATTCAAAATTCTGGATATTCTATGTATTTCTTCGAAATTAACTATTATTGTCATAAACTCAAAAATTATAACATGTAAGTGCATTTTGCCTGGAGAAATATTGAAAACTGAACGGCCCAAATTGTCGGCCGTTTAAACATAGAGCGCCACAGAGGGCCTATCTTCCCACCCCCATATGGGCCCATCAATGGCCAACGTATTAGCAGTACGCGGAGCAAAGGCCCATTTCAAATTTTCAATACACCTCTAGTCTGGTTAAGGAAGAGGGCAACCAAATGCAAAATCACTTCGCATGTTCTTCCGATCTCAGTCCGGTTTGCTTCTCATTTCCTAGTTTTGACGATCATGGATCTCAGTCGTTGAACAAATGAGGATGATAATGGGCTTTCTTTCGATTGGATTCGAGAAACCTAGTAAATTTTTTTTAGTTAGGGTTATATTCCAATTAAAGTAGAACGAATCTGATGATTCCATTAAGAATCGATTTTGGTTTGCGTGTGGGGGTGGGGGTGAAGGCGTCAGGAACACCGACGAGAATAACCTAATTGGGTGAGTAGTGGATGGAGACCTATTGGAGCTGGTCGCTCTTGTTGAAGCGAGCGAAGTGAGATGCTTCCAAATCCCACAGATGCAAAAAACCGCCTCTTTTGATCTCCTTCATCGAGAAATCCAGAGTGTTGCAGGAGAGTTTGAGAGCCTTTAGAGGAGAGAGGTTGAGGTTGCGACAACGTGTGGTGGGGAAGTATACTAACATAGTCGTAAAGGTGAGGAATCATCACCGAGGAAATCGCCCCAGAACTCGTCATCGTCGCAGACTAGATTGCTTTTGTTTCTAAGGGACTTTAAAAAATATTAATTAAATATTTTAAAGTAAAATGTGATGTGTCATAAGCATGTCACATGAGGCTGAGTTGTCACTGACATGTGGTTGATTTGGCTTCCTAATCAGCGTACTATTAAAGTAACTGATGGTGTCTTTAAGATCGTTAAAATTTGTAATGAAAATGACTAAATTTTATCATACAACCATTTAAAATTCTGGATATTTGACGTATTTCTTCAGAATTAATTGTCGTAAACTCAATAATTGTAACATGTAATGTAAGTGCATTTTGCCTGGAGAAATATTGAAAACTGAATGGCCCAAATTGTCGGCCGTTTAAAACATAGAGCGCCACAGAGGGCCTATCTTCCCAGGCCCCAGCAGAGAAAATTCCCGCATTCCACCTCCATTGGGCCCATCAATGGGCCAACGTATTAGCAGAACGCGGAGCAAAGGCCCATTTCAATACACCTCTGGTCTGGTTAAGGAAGAGGGCAACCAAATGCAAAATCACTTCGCATGTTTTTCCGATCTCAGTTCGTTCTGTTTCTCCTTTCCTGAGTTTGACGATCATGGATTGACCATCAGATTCAACCACAACCGTCAGAAGCCGTGAAGCCCCGATCTCTAGCAATAGGTAATCCAAGCGATTGCACCCTCGCCTCCGTCTCTTCAGCACTGCACGTGATTCTTTCTCTCGCTTGTGGTTTATCAGCTCATGAATGGAAAGTTTGCCCCAAATGATGGTGAGTCTGAATCCCACTGAGGTGAACAAGTTGGATGATCAAGCGAATACCGAAACGGGTCTACTCGCCCTCACAAAGCGGCCTGGACCCGAGTACATAAGCAGCAACCCTTGCAAGACCCAGGACCAGGACACAGCTATGGCCGAGAGAACTTGTGGAGCTGAAACAACTGTGCCGGCACTCGATCAACCAGGTTAATTTTGGATAGGAATGGAATTTTAGTGCGATTCTTCATGTGGGGTTGCTTTCGTTTGCAATTTATTATTTTTGAATCCGCCGGTTTAGCAGTTTGATGCTTCTACTGGTAATTAGGGTTCATGGTTAGCAGATAGGTGAGTTAGGTTTGCAATAGTGAAATTTAACTTTCACATTTGAAGATAAGGGCTTCAGGTTCAGTTTAATTGGCCGATTTGGATCAAGATTCTAATTTATCGGCTCATAATAAAGTGGTTCAGCTCTATAACTCTGATTTGTGCGTCTCTCATTACTAAACTAGCTGGTTGGATTACAATCGTCATTTCTGTCTAGGGTTCAATGGAATCATCCTAAAGATTATGCCCTTTTGGTTGTGGGTAGTTAAGGGTGTATTTGGCTTCAGCAATGGTGTCCTGAAGGGATGATGGGTTAAGTATCCTCCTGTCTTTTTGGTTCTTCAGATATTGGAAGTTCTGATCCCTGGAATATCCTAGAAAGAAAGTTCTTCACTGATATACCCGCCTGCTGCATTTTGCTTCATATAAGATAATAGTATTGGCTTGATATTATGAAAAATACAACCGATTCTATTTGTCTATCAAATCCACAGCTTCTCTGACATTCGTTGATATTGATATCGTGTAATTTGTCTCTCTAACTGAAACAGTTCATATGCCTGCCATAATACATGTAGCGAACTTCAACGGTAGGCATGTTTCCATTATGACATTAACCTTGGTCATTGTGATTCATGCATTCTCCTCCTAGGTGAGGCGAAAGTGATATCATCTAAAACAATGTTGCATCAAGTTTGTTCTGCAAACAAGTGGAAGCTCCCTGAATATGAATGGCGCTTGGAGCAAGGTCCTGCACACATGACACTGTAAGTGGAGGACATTATGCTACAATGATATAGAGTCAAAATTATGATGTGACTAATATGGCAGGCGTGATTTTTCTCATAGGTTTACCTGCAAGGTCATTGTCGAGATTCGGGCTGAAGAAGCCGCATCCTCTACGTTCCTGGAGTGTTTTAGTAATCCCATGCCCCAAAAGAAAGCGGCAACAGAGCATGCGAGTTCAGGAGCTATCTGGTATTTAAAGCAGCTTGGTTACTTCCCCCCTGAGGGAAAGGCTAAGAGTAAGAGAAGGAAGAATAACCACAAGAAGCCGAAAACAGAGGGAGTGTACGACTCCCACGAGCCAGTGGAAATCTCAAGTGGGTTTCTTGCTAACTTCTAAAGATTAAGTAGGCTTCTACCAAAAAAAAAAAAAAAAACAGAAGAAGATTAAGTAGGCATGTGTAAACTTGAAGAATACAAACAAACTGCAAACATGCAGCGGAAATCTCCCTGTATCTCTGGGTCCTGTGCTATCTAAATATGAACAGCGCGATGTCATGCTTTGTTAAAATCTTTGCATCATAGAGGATAATGATATCCGGGTGGTAAAAGTATAACAAGTGTTACGCATTTTATTGGTTAATTTGGTTTAATTGGTAATAAGCCATTAAGCCATTTAATGGCTTATTACCAATTAAACCAAATTAACCAATAAAAAAATGGTTAAAGTACCGATGTCTCATGAACAAGACTAGAGTTCGATGGTTATATAACTTGTACATGTCATTCACACGGATGGTGTTTTTATGTTTGGTACTAGGTTATGAACTATCTAGGCAAATACTCAAACTAATATGAGTATGCTTAGAATGTAATGAAATCATGAGAAAGACAAAATGACTAGCAATGAAATGCAATTAATAGTGACATATAAGTCTACAAACAAAGTGTTGCTTATATAAAATCTCCATGAATAAAAACATGAGAATTGCTTCATATGATACATGTATAATCAATTTTCACCATTGAAGAAAATGATTGTCCTCTGATCGAGTTAAATGTATCCATGATATATTTGTTTTCCAATTTTCTATCTTTTTTGTTGATTATCGCACGAATTATATATTGAAATTATATGATTTGAATGAGAAAACATTTTGGAGATTTGTCACCGGTACTTAACTGGATAATGTATTGGTTTCTATTTGGTGTCCAAACGAAATATCTTAAATATGATCAGCAACAATGTAGTGATTACCATGCAACTCTCACGATCATTGTAATATTTCAAAAGAGCTCATTCAAATACGGGAGACCTACTAAAGTAAGGCTACATTTAAGATAGAAACATTGACATATAGTTTGAATGTCTTACCATTTTCAATGAAAATGAGTAAAATGAATTAGCGCTTTGGTCAAACAAATGTGTACAAATCGTTTTCATATAAGTATTCCGTTCTTTAACGTTAGCATTCATTGATCTAAATCTAAGTTTAACTTGAATAATTGACATGATAGTGGACATATAAATAATTTTATTATGTTTAAATTTATACACTGAACAACATCAACTTAAGGGCTCAACACATTGTGGACATTTGTGTTTTCAAAAACTATTCAGTTAGGCAGAATTCGTCAACAACAAAGAGAGCTAATTGATGATGAATTCTAGAGCTGACAGAGATGCAATAGTGCAAGCAAAGTTGGAGAATTGCTCCAAAGTTGAACCTGAGTTGGACTTGCAAGCAATTTGTCGCAAAAGCTTGTTGTTGACGTCTTCAAAGAGTTTCAGTAAATGAAAATATGAAATATTGACACAATGGAGATTTGTCAATGCTACCTCTCACCATGGAAGTAAACAAACTCAAATTTCACCTTATATGACCATTGTATCCATTCCAAGCTCCCCCACTATATCTCAAATGCTAGTTCATTGGTAACAAATATTTGTCTCCAAACAAAGTTGTGGTCAATAAAAGCCGAAAATGACATATGAGGATTGAAGGCTTTTATAATGGTCAAATTTAAATTCTAAGGTTATAGTTCAAATGTTTTCATTCTATGACGGGGAAGAGAGTAAAATGATATTGGTGTTAGACCCCTAAAAACAATTTTGGGATAATCTCTATATTAGCCTACAACCACTCCAATCTTGACTACTTCTTACTAAACACAACTGTCACCAAACTCGAAGATTTAATGAAACTCACCAACTCCCAAGGGATATCGTAATTCTTGATGGAAAGTGCTAATCACACTAGACTAACCAATGGACTCAGTAGTCATTAAAAACTCCAAGGGATTGGTCAACTGGTAATATGCAAGGATAAAATTCATCACATATTGGGTTCGAAACATACAATCACATATTGTAAGGGCATTTGGATAATGGATTTTGGTATTAATGGGGTCGATTACTTAATGTTAGAGAATATGTAAATATTTTAACATAAATAAAAATAGCTAAAACCACAACAATGCATTTTTAGTGTATAAGTTGGTAGTCCTAATGTTAAAATTTTCGCGCTAACTAATTATCTAAAACAATGAAATTAGGCTAGAAAGGGAGAGAGCATGAATGTAAGCGAAAAAAATAGAAATCTTACTACTATCTCAATGAAATAATACAGTTTTCCAACCCCCAAGATTGTTACATACATATATTATGTCCAATCTCATACGATGGATTATTCTTAAGAAACTATTACATCATAAAGAATAGTAAAAAGTGTATCAAACTTTTTTTCATTTATTCTAAAACAAAATCCTACTTAATACTCTGGTTGATCAACGAGGTGATGCACTCAAAACTTCTTAGGGCACTTAGCTCCCACTCAACGGCAATCTCTTCTCCCAATCAAACAGCGTAGTTAGTAAACCATCACCGATCAGACGGTGTAGTGTTGTTGGATAGTTTCAATGTCCAAACCCTTGAGCTTCACAACCGACTCAACATGTCCCTTGAGGGTATGGAGCTCCCTCAGCCTTGCCACCTCTGCACGCCTCTTGGCTTGCTCAGCGATCTCAGATAGCTCCCTGTAGTTGTTTTTGTCGGCAAACAGTTCAGCCGTGTCTGCTGGCTGGAGCCCGTGCAAGGTGCGCTGAGCCGCTGCCCATTGTGCTTCCCTCTCGCCTTTTCCAAAGTCGTTCTTGTTGGTGAAAGCAGTCTACAGGTATAAAATATAAATATAAATAATTAGATGTATAATTAGCAACCAATTTTTTCTGTCCAAACACATTTAGTTTCATAATGAGGATTGTCGGAGTTTCTGTTAGCGTACCTTGTTCTGGACGAGGTTGTCCCATGCCTTTCCACTCAATGCATATCGGATGATGAACTTGAGAATATCAAGTGGGAAGTAGAAGACGAGGCTGTATAGCCAGATGACTCCAGCCCATCCCCATCCGATCCCCTTGATCCTTGCAAATCCCCAGCTAGCGTAAACTGCTATTAAAGTTGCAACCTGTTGTGATAGTAGAAAAATATTGAACAAAATTAATAACAATTATTAAGTCAACCAAGCACATCATGGTTGGCTAAACCACACCCCCCGAACTGAAGTTGATGAAGGGTCAACTCACCAGTTGCGCAATAAGGAAGGCAATCATAAGCATAACTCCAGGGCGTTCAACAAAGGACCAACTTCTAGAGCGAGTCACAAAGATGAGAGCCTGGCTCACAATGCTCACTTGGAGGTACACAGCTGCTGTCAGCTCATCTGGGCTATGCCTGATTGACCTCACTCCAAATTTTTCCTGTAAAGTGAGTTTTTACAAATTTATTTATTAGGATCAATATAACGTAAGTTATGTTTTTTTTTTTTTGTTTCGTCCGTTTTTCTTACGCTGAAGAAGTCAGAGCCATAAGCGCCAAAGAAGAAGAGAACAGTCATGATGGCCAAGTATGTCCCCAACACAACTCCAGTGGCGAAGATCTCCTTGAGCTTCCACGAATCAGGCAAAGGGGATGGCTTCACTCTGTCCTTGGATATGGTCATAATCGTCCCATCATTCAAGATGGCGATGATTAGAACCATGAAGGGGGAGAAATCAAATTTCCAAATGAGGGCAATCAACATAAATCCGAGCACAATACGGATCGTGATGGAGACTGCATAAATTGTGTAGTTCTTCATCCTTTGGAAGATGGCTCTACTGGTGAGCACTGCACTAACAATCACACTCAGCCCTGGCTCGGTCAAGACGATGTCGGAGGCACCCCTAGCAGCATCAGTTGCATCGGCCACAGCAATTCCAATGTCTGCTCTCTTGAGCGCGGGAGCATCGTTCACACCATCTCCGGTCATACCACATATGTGTTTCATGTCTTGAAGCCTCTTCACGATCTCGTACTTGTGTTCTGGGAACACCCCAGCGAACCCATCGGCCTTCTCAATCAGCTCGTCCACTGGAATATTGGCGATGGATTCATCCTTGGTTTGGCCAAGAAGAGCCGATGATGGGTACATGTTGGTTCCCATACCAAGCCTACGCCCTGTCTCTTTTCCGATAGCCAGTTGGTCACCAGTGATCATTTTAACATTGACACCAAGGTGGAGAGCTCGCCTGATGGTCTCGGCACTATCGTGCCTTGGTGGATCAAAGAGAGGCAATAGACCAACAAATTGCCATGGCCCTCCAGCACTTTCCTTGGTCTTCTCTGGCACAGTCTATAAAACCAAAGAAAACCAAAAGCACTTAGTTAAAAGGAATTTATATAAAATAAAGTGAATTTTTATTGGATTGATATTTACTTGTCGGCCGACAGCCAATGAGCGAAGCCCACGATCAGCAAACTTATCAATGATGGCAAGAGCCTTCTTCTTGGCACTTTCAGAGAGGTTGCAGAGTTCAATGATTTGCTCTGGAGCACCTTTGCTAACTCTGTGCCAGTTTCCTTGTCCATCAATGTAGGTAATAGCCGTCCTTTTGTCAACTGGGTTGAAGGGCAAGAAATGGACCTCTTGGATTCCAGCTCTGGCCTCTTTAGGGTCACCAAGCATCCCAACGATGCAAGCATCGATTGCATCCTGATTCTCAACCCTGGATGCTCTGGCACCAAGAAGCAACAGGTGTTCCTTGTCGCAATCTTTCACAAACACCTCGACCAGACTTTTGTCCACTGTGAGTTTGTTGAGTGTGAGAGTTCCAGTCTTGTCACTGCACAGGACATCCATCCCGGCCATTTCTTCAATGGCTGTCATTCTCTTGGTGATGGCACCTTGTTGAGAGAGGCGGTGAGACCCAATAGCCATCGTTACTGACAACACCGTAGGCATGGCAATTGGGATTCCTCCGATGAGAAGCACAAGGAGATTATCGATACCATCTCTGTACCTTCTGTGTTGAATGGGGTACATTACAATGATCTCAACCATCATACCCAATCCGATCGAGCAAATACAGAAGTTCCCAATCGCTGTCAACACCTACAAGAAACAATAATATCTTTTCGTTCAATAATTATGACCATTCGGTGATGGAAATTATTTTGTGATTGTTGAAATTAACCTTCTGAAAATGTCCTTCTTGGTTAGTGCTATCAACCAGGTGAGCAGCCTTGCCGAAGAAGGTGTGGACTCCAGTGGCAATGACGACAGCTTCAATCTCACCCTGCTTACAGGTGGATCCAGAGAAAACTTCATCTCCTGGGTTCTTGGTGACGGGCAAGGACTCTCCGGTGAGTGCAGACTGGTCAATCTTCAAAGGGTCACCTTCGAGGAGACGAGCATCGGCGGGGACGATGTCACCCAACTTGATGCTGATAACATCACCGGGCACCAAGATGGCGGCCTCTTGTTCCGACCATTTCCCGTCTCTCAAAACTTTTGTCTTGGGAGCTAGCCCAGCCATGAGAGCAGCTGCGGCATTGCCGGCACTGTTTTCTTCAATGAAACTTATAGTGGAGTTGATGATAAGGAGTGTCACAATACCAACAAAATCTTGCCAATCCGGTGGTTGGCCCTGCAAAATAATTTGAAATGTTTATCAAGTGACTCCTTGCATCTCAATCTCTTTGTTTGAGACAAAAAAAATCAGTAGGATAAAGAGTGCAACGTACTCCTCCGTTGGCCAAAGCAATGGCCATGATGGCTGCAATCTCCATGACCCATGAAAGAGGGTTCCACATGAATCCAAGAAACTTGAGGAACTTGCTTTCTTTCTTCTCTTCGAGCTTGTTAGGCCCGAAGATTTGCAATCGCTTTTGTCCTTCATCGGATGTTAAACCGCTCCTCGAGCATTGCAGTTGTTGAAACACTTCGTCGACCGGAATGCGCTCCTATACATACACATATTAATTAATAATAATGTTTAGAAATAAAAAATTCTTGCATGCAAAAACATATTGCATGTCACACAATATGATCAAAAGACTCACAAGGTCGACATTCTCCTTCTTGATTTCCTCTAAGCTGATCGACATCGTCGTCTTTTGTTTTTGTTTTTCCTAACCAATAGCAACCACCCTCTTTATTCTCTTTTTGGCTTTTGTGTTTTTGTGCTTTTTATCCTTTTATGTATGCAAGTAGTGTTTTATTGAGTGGGGGATGGGTGTTTTATTCTTTCTGGTCGCACTATTGGTGTCTTCTGATTATTGAGGGGAGTTCCCTTTGCTTAAATACACAACATTAGAGAAGGCAATGGGAAAGAAGACAATGAGAGAGATTTGATGGTTGTTTGCACTTTCTGTTGCTCATTTTTATAACCAACCTTCCTACAGTTATTCTTCGGGTTTCTAGTTTTAGAGTTTGGGAGAATTGTTCATACAAACTCCCGAACTAGTTGCACCTCCTTATGTTATACTCTCTCTCCCTTGAGTTTACTCACCTTCATTCACTTTCCTTTCTTAATTTTGTTTTCTCAGTTACTATTTTTGTTTTATTTTCAGTTTTGTGATAACTCTATTCTCACTCAATCTATAATTCTATTTTTGTCGTGCTGACACATGGAGTTTTGGCAATTTCCATTTGCCATACACGTGTTCGGCTACTTAGGGATGGGGTGAGAATAATCAAACTAATAAGAGTAATAGTAATGGCGTGTCAGTTGATCATGACGGTACTAATAACTTACTCTTTTAGTTCTTTGGAAAAAAATTTGATGAAAGGTTTTCTCATAAAACTAAATTATTAGCAGTCTTTGTTGCATGGCGCATGATCGGAAGGAGTCAGTAAGCCAATTATTAGCATATACAAAAGACTAGTATCTGTATAAGGGGGTTTAGTAGCCTATATTAGGGTGCAACATTAGTTTTTCACTCTTTTACCCAACCTTTCTCTATTCCATCGTGTCTTCCTCCTTTGATAATTTATCTGGAGGCTTGCCAAATTTATGTAGATTCCTCGTGTTTTCCAATAAATTTCTAGATACTGGTCAAGCTAGGTCATAGATGAATCTCTTGGGAGTGGAATCACAAATCAGATCCAAGAGAAGTGGGAGAATCAAAGCGCCAATAGGAGATGAATCCTTGGCGATTGGGTGAGTTTCCTCTCATCGATGTTTTTTATCTCTATTTTGCAGGCTAGCTCCAACATGCTTCACCTTCTTCTATCGCCGCTCTACCCATTACTTCTAGACAAAATTCTTTTGAGTGATGATTAGTTAGAGGTAGTTTCAAGAATTGGAAATTGAAGGACACTTCATTCTCATTTTTGATACATTTTCCTTTTTTATTGAAGTATCTTCAGTCATTTCAATGGTATTTCTTATCTAAATCACAACTTGATCAATGAGATTTTGATAGAAAGAGACAATGTTCTTGTACTTTTAATGCATTCTAGGTATATTTTTTTATGGTTTTAAAGGTACAAAGAAAGGTAAGGAAGATTGGACCAAGCATTGAAGGATTGTGGAGGACCAATGAGTTGTCAAGAGAAGTTTAAGGAGTTTTCACGGGAAAGGAGTGGTCAAATGACAAAGAAGTCAACTAGAAGTTGCTAGATTATGTCAAGTCGAGCCCATAGGAGGAAGAATCAATCCATTCTAAAGCAAGAAAGAGCGACGGCCCGAACAATAGGTCTAGTCACCGCTACCCAAAGTTCCAGCCCAAATCGTCAGGTATTGAAGTCCTTGGATCAAGAAGCCCAAATCATGAAGAATCAAGGCGGCGGGTCCAACCGACGTACCAAAGTCGCCCTCCCTTTGTCTTTTTGACGAAATTTCCTAAGTTTACCAGGTTTAGTAGACTATTTCCTAGTCGATTTAGGTTGATTTTGGTCGGATTCTCCCCTATAAATAGTGAGGGCATGACTCTATTGTAAGAGTATGGGTGCACAAACAAACAAATCTTTGTAACACTATACACGAGTGCCTGGTCTAGTCGAAGTAGAGGGATCTATAGCTAAGGAGATGGTGTCTTCACCAAAGGTGGTACCTTCATTCTCCTCTATGTGGCTAATCAAAACTAATTGTATTAGGATGTAATTTTGTTTATTGTTATGTGAATGAATGTTGTGATTTCATCTCATTCTTGTATTTGTCTATGAATTTGATGGCTATGATGATCGTTGATTGTTTTATTGTTGTTATGCTTATGATGGTCATTGCTTTTTCTATGGTATAAATGCTCTTAATACCATCGATGCTTATGATTCTATTGTATGCTACTACATGCATTGTGCTTAGTATTGCCTAGATTGTCAATAAATTACCTTCTAGGGATACCCCATTGATGCTACATGAGTAGGGGAGGATTGATCACCCATCTATGCTTAGAGTAGTATTAATGCTTGATTGGTAGATCATCGATGCTATAGACTATAGTTATGGTTCGTAGAAACCCACAATTAACTATATGTAACTTCATTTCTCATCATTAATTATTTAATAGCATGAAGCAAAAGCATGCATTAGTTAGTTAAGTCTCTATTGCAAGAGGCGCATGCACGGGTGAAGAGTGGTCTTAGGGGAAGTGATAAGGTGTTGCAATAGATGAACCATTGATGCATGATATGAATCAACCCTAGTTTGCATGATCATCTTTGAGTTCACAATTCATTACAAGAAAGTATCTTTACTTTAATACATCTATAAATCGAAAACCCTAAACAACTTTACTCTTCTTGTTTGCTTGTTCAATTCCTGTTTGTCATGGTGGTTGGTTGAGTAGTTAAGCATTAGAAAATCCGAAGGAATACGACCCTAAAACACATCTAGGATTATAAGTTGTGTTTCTTACATCACTTACCAGTATTTCCACTAAAAATTGAAGACCAAACAAATACTGGCTAATTGGGTGATTTTGTGCCACTTGATCGGTTAAGACAAGTGTTAGATGTTTTTCTCCTATAGGAAAACCTCATTTGGTGTCAAAATAATAGACTTGACGTCGAAAACATTTCTTTTAGAGCAACAACACTAAGTACTTCCACACTCAAACTATAAGGCAAAAAACAGATGACCAAATTATGGGATTACAAAACAATAGGCGAGAGCCTGTGGAGGACGACAACATCATGAAGCAAATAACACGGGAGTGCTTTATATGGGCCTATATTTAGAGGAATTTTACAATGCTATATAGCATTGATGATATAGGTTTTTTCCTTTATGGTACAACTTGAAGTTGTACCTTTACATTATGGTACATAAGGGCAATGAGAGAGAAAGTGAGAATCGAGAGGAGGGTTCAAGTGATTTGTCTTTCTTTTCCAACCGATTTGGAGATAGGATTAAAATCACGTAGCACATTCAAAATGGCTGCTCTTTTTATTTAATACTTCCTATTGATGCAAGGGGGTGGCTTAGTTTCTCTGAGAACCTTTCAAACTCGGTTCGGAAACCCCAGGTCTAGCTAGCTCAGCGTCGGCGTTCGGCGACAGTCCTCCTCGGAAGGTCGTATGCTACGACCGTCAAGGAAGGTCTGTCTTACATAGAAGGGGATTGTCAAATTAAAAAAAATGGAGAGGGTTCGATATATTGAAGTGGAAGAGAAAGGAATCACTGAAAGACTGATGTTCCTGGATCACTATCTCACCGTAGAGTTTTTCAGCATCCAGAACAGGGGCCTTCCTGACGAGTTGGAAAGTGATTTCATTGAATGGGCTCGCGTGAACTGGAAGTTAAATGATGACTTCGCCTTCACAAAGGAGGTTGAGGATTTGTGGATGCTTGCTAGCCCATCGTTGCAAGAGGTAATCCGCATGCAAAGTTGTCGGCGCACCACGTTCCGTGAGTACAATATTATTGTTTGGTTCTGGAAAGAAGACGTTGGAAGATGCTTTGCTCCTCAGAAAGGTCTGACTTGGATCATGGCCATTGGAATCCCGCACCACCTTAGAAGTCTGGACGTTTACAAGAAGATTGGTGAGCTCTGCGGGGGTTTCATTGATATTAATCGAAGTTGATGGGAAGAACCGTTCGTGTGCATTAAAATCAAGACTGGTGATCGGATTCCGAATAAGATTCCTTTGCTCTTGGTACCACTATTTTTTTGGCCAAGAATGTTGTACCCCTGATCACAGATGAGCCGACGACAGACTTGAATCGACATCGTCTCCTTGCCCGGAATTGGGGAAAGCCGAGGAGTCCCAATGTGGCATGCAAACCATCATCATTAGCCTCTCTCCCCAATAACGTGGCTATAGGGGGAGCATTCCTAAGCAGATTTGAAAACGACAGGGTTTCTTCATGCATGCAGTTGAGAGGCGGGACCAGACCGTTGAGGAAGGTTTGGGTGCAGAAATTCGGCACCCCTCTCAAACGCTAAGCCCAGCCCAGTAAACCTCTCAAGCCCTTTTGTTTCCCCCAGCCCGTTAACTATCTCCATCTTGACGACCCTCCTTCGAGAAACCAAAACCTAGAAACCTCCCTGCTGCTCATCCTACACCCATTCACAATCGTCACTTCCCCCACCGAGTTCGAACCTGTTCAGTCGATCGTGCCTATCCAGAAGACCCTATCTTATCTCCTCTTCCAACTATCCTCCCCACTGCAAAAATCCCTAATTCATACTGGCACCTTAACCCGCAACCAACCTCTATCTTCCTTCAGGAAATCTGGATGGGATCTTGGAGAATCACCTTCTTTTCATATACTTCATCTATCGTCTTCGATAATCCTGCTTCTTACCACCCGTTACTCTATCCTTGTGGACCTTACTAGATTCACTCCCAACTTTCCCCTCCTTGATTGATCCTCTACAATCGACCACGTTTTCTTCCCAACCAACCCCCTCACCCCTCCTGCCTTAGATTACTCCCCTAAACCATTTGATTTCGATGATTCACACTTTAATAAGGAACCGTCACCTGAACCTACCCCTAGTACTCCTTCATTTGATCCTGCAACCCCTTCTTTAGTAAATACTCCTTCTCCTGCTTCTTTTTCCCCTATTGGTTCAACCCTTAACCCCCTGCTATAGTGGTACACCAGAATCTTGGACAGGACTACTTCCAAGCGTGGCAAGATAAACAAGACCTATCTCACCTCACTGAAAGATGTTTGGCCTTATGTCAGTGTCTTAATCTTTCAACTAAAAATACAGTGAACGAGCTAGGAAAGAAGATCGTGGAATTGGAAATTGAAGCCAAAAGAAAGAAAAGAGCGGCAAGATCAAAACAATAGATGGAAGATAAAAAATATGTGGCTGGAAGAACCAAGTTTCTTTGAACAGTTGGTCGGGTGGTGGAGTATTCCTGTGATTGGATCGAGGCTTCTGTTTAGATGCAGCCAAAGACTGAGAACCATAAAAACAACTAATTAAGGGCTGGAATATTGAATGCTTTGGGAAGATAGACAGGATGGTCACAGACTTACTCTCACAGATTAAGACGATTGTCATATTGGAAGAGCAAGGCCCTATTACTAACCAAATGAATATCGAGAGGTGCAGACTGAAGTGTGAGCTGGACAAAGTGCTCTTGATGGAAGAAATATCCTAGCGTCAGAAATCGTGTGCTTTATGGCTCAAAGTTGGTGATAAGAACTCTGGCTACTTCCATCGCAAAGAAAAAAAATAACAGTAGACGAAATTGTGAGGAATATGAAGGTTGAAGGAAGGGTGATCGAGGACAAAGGGAAACTTCAGCAAGCCTTTGTCAACCACGTTCGTAAAAGATTTACTAAACTAGAAAAGGACAGACCCTTCCCAGGAGATTTCAAAGAAACATTAATAAACCAAGAGGAGAATTTCAAACTCGCAGTCCCCTTCACGGAATCTGAAGTGTGGAATGCAATCTGTTTTTGCAATGGGGAAAAGGCACCCGAGCCAGATGGGGTTACTATTGCATTTTTCATGAAATCATAGAATATCATCTAATATGACATCATGAAAGCCCTTGAAGAATTCTATCTCAGCGGCATTTTGCCACATTCAGTTGCGCACTCCTTCGTGTGCTTGATTCCCAAAAAAGGATCGGTCGAATTGTTGAAAGCTTTCCGACCAATTAGTCTCATTGGGAGCCTCAACAAGATAATTTCAAAGGCTATTTTGGCAAGACTGCAGCTGATCTCGCATAAGGCTGTCTCAAAATTTCAGTATGCTGGAAGGAAGAGAAAATTAATACATGAAGCAAGTTTTTGATAATGAAGCAATCGATAGTGGGATCATCCTGAAATTAGATATTGAAAAGGCATTCGATTTTGGTAAGATGGGAGTGTTTGAGGCGAATCCTTAAAAACATGAGAATGGCCATGAAGCTAGAAAAGTGGATTATGGGGCTTGTTTCTTGCTCGAAGTTTTTAGTCCTTGTCCATGGCGAATTGACAGGTTCTTAGTGTGGATCGAGGTATTAAGCAGGGAGACCCACTCTCCCCCCTCACGTTTAACATCAGTATGGACGTTTTCTCTTACATAATTGAGAATCTGCAGGAGGCTGGACTTATCACAGGCTTCCACTTTGGCATAAGTAACATGCGAGGATAGGTTTCTCACCTACTGCAATGCCACTGAAGATGAAGTTTTTAATGTGATGGCTGCCCTGTTATGTTTCCAATCCATCACATGCCTTAAAATCAACCTTGACAAGAGTAAGATTTACCATGTTGGTGAGGTGGAAAACATTGATAGGTTGGTTGGGATTCTTGGATGAGTTTGAGTTTTCTTCATAATGTGTATCACGGTCTGCCACTAGGAGCTCAACCTACATCCACATCAATTTGGGAAGCAGTCCTAGTGAAGACACAAAGGAAGTTGGAAGGGTGGCAGGGCAAATATTTATCACTAGGTTGAAGAATTACCTTGTGTAATGCAGTCTTGGCCAGCCAACTGTTGTACCAGTGCTCGCATTTTCGTACGCCAACCAGCATAATCGCAAAGTTGGAGAGAATCCAGAGGGATTTCATCTAGTCAGGGGTGAGCAAAGAGAAAGCTCCATCTCGTGGCATGGGAAACTTGCAAGACACCAAAGAAGCTTGGTGGTTTAGGCATCACAAATTTAAGGATCTGAAATAAAGCTTTGCTAGCTAAGTAGTTGTTGAGATTTGCTCATGAAAGAGATGAATGGTGGAGGGAACTGATAAGTCTCAAGTATCCTCATAAAGCATCGGAATGGGTCACGAGTGAGCATACAGGATGGGTGGGGTGCAGCCTCTGGTCTCAAATTCAGAAACTATCAAAGGAATTCTAAAAATTATCTTGGGTGGAACCTGGTGGAGGGTCTTGAGATTCTTTTTGGTATGATGTGTGGATCAAGGGCCTTCCCTCGCTAGCTGAATCTTTCCAAGGGTTGTCGCTGCTGCCGCCTCGCCTTGCTGTCAAATCTTTCTTGGGATTTACCTCTTAATCATAATCTAAGAGGAGGGGTTGAGGGTAAGAGAACTATTATTTTAAATTTACTCCAAAACATCCATTTTACTATGCTTTCTGCATGTCCATCAAAACTCATTTGGGAGCCGTTTTCAAGTGTTTGTTTTCGGGTGAAGTCTATGTACGAGAGATTGATTGTCGAGCAAAACAATTCTAGATTCGTGTTCCCTGCTACAACATTCTGGACGCAGCCTGCCCTCCCCCCACCCCATAAAGTGTGTGTGTGTTTGTGTGTTTAGTATACCACAAAAAGATATTGACGCAATATCTTCTCAAGAAGCATGGATGAGTGCTTCCAAACAGGTGCTCCTTGTGCTATGAAGAGGAAGAAAGCGTGGACCATCTTTTCTTGAGCTGCAGGTTTTCGCAGAGGGTGTGACAAGTGATGAAGAGATTTGTGAAGCTACCTGCAGATCTGGCTTGGGATATAACTGAGTAGATGGCAACAAAGGAAACCAGAATGTCGGCAAGATTGGTGCCCTAGAGTGTTTTGGCACGCATTGTGTTGGCGGCTTTGGTTGGGAAGGAATGGCAAGATATTCAGAGATAATGTGGAAGTAGTCACCGTGGCTATTTCCAAATTGGTCGAGCCATGAAGGATTGGTTATGTTCTAACGAAAGGTGGAAAGAGCCATAGTAGAAGAATGGATGAGGAAGTTAAAAGCACAATTGTTACCAACAACAGTTTAGGTTCCGCAACATTGATTCTTTGGAGAGCTGGGACGACATCGAATGCTTTGTAAATGGGGATGTCTTCAGCAAATTGCTTTTCTGTTGTTCTTCTGGGAACTTAATAATAGTAGGGTCCCTCGTATATACTATGCCTTTGTGAGGTGACTCTCTTGAGTGTTCTTTTCTTTTGCTATGTGTGTCTAGGAGACTAAAGTGTTTTCACGGCACCTAGTTTTGGTTTATTTTATTTTATTTGTTTCCTTTTAAATTAATAAATGATTTCACCATTATTAAAAATAAATTATAGTATAACTTGAAATTGTACCTATACTCTTTTGTACAATTTCTTTTATGGTACAACTTGAACTGGTACCTTTATGTGATGGTACAATTTCAAGTTGTACCATAACATATATATTGAATATTATGGTACAACTTTAAGTTGTACATTAAAAAACCAATGATTTATAGTATATTAGAAATGCTCCTATATGGCTATATTTATGACGGTGGCCAAGTCAATGATATGGGAAACAAGCTCCCAACTCTTGCAACAGGGAGGTGGAAGAATGTTGCCAAATGCTACTCAAACTCATATGTTCATGTGACCATGAGCCATCTACTTATGATCTTGCTGAAAGCTCCATGCAACAATAGTGGCCTAAAACCTTTGATTTTTTTTTTATGATGTTGGGAATTTTAAGGATCACTGGTGAAGTTCGTGAGGGACACACTACAAGCTATGATATCTCTTTCTCGATTGTTGAATGATGGCCCGTCTGTTATTAGTGGACGATTTCATTCTAATTGGTGAGTCACGGTGAAAATGTTTGATCGTTAGTTTTAATGGTCAACTCAAATTTTGGACTAAATCTATTCCTAATTTTCAAAATTGATCACCACTACAAGAAAACTTACTTTTAGGGACACATAATTAGAAGCAATTGCTATATTAGCCTCTAAAGATAAGCATTTGAGACTATTAAATTATTTGATTCTATTAATAGAATTATTTTCTATTGTATTGATAATCGGTTTTAATATATCGGATTCTTGAGGTTTATGTGTGATGACTCGATATTTGCACATGTTTTCCCCTTTGTTTCTTGATTGTTTGAGCTTGAATTATCGTGTCTTTGGCCTATTTTACGCTAGGTTGTGTTCCTTTGTCACATTTCAGGTCCTAGCACATAAAGTGAAGCATAGGCGCAAGTTTCAAGTCAATCAGAGATCAATTGACGATTCGGGAGAAGAAACTCGGGTATGACCTGAAGAAGAATGGATTTATACCTCACTTTATGGACAAAGAATCATCTAAGCTTGTCATGAAAAGAAAGAGGACGAGACTACAAGCGTCTGGAATCAAACGGCGACTGATTCAGAGTCCGGACGAGGGAGAAACGAAGCATTAAACAGAGGATGAGCAAGCCACACGGGCACAACCCACACGGCCGTGTGACCTGGCCATGTGGCCGTGTGGAAATCACCGAGCCTTCACACGGGCAGCTGGGAAAGCCACACGGCCGTGTGGCCTGGCCGTGTGAGTCGGGAATTGCTGTTTAAAACCCGATTTTCAGCAAAAGGAAAGGGGGAGAGCTGGGTTTTGGATCCCAAACACCCAAGGGACGAACCCTAGAGAGAGAGAGCGACTTGGGAACATTCTTGGAGCTATTTTGGAGGATTTCTTCGCCTTTGGAGCTCGGGAATCAAGCTTGGAGATGGAGATTGAAGATCTAGATCATATTTCTGCAGTCTCTCTCTTCTCTATGGAGTAACTTCCCTTCACTTAGGTTTTGAGGAACCTTAGTTCCATGAGTTAGGATCTTTCTTATATGAAGTTTTGGATGCTATATTGTTTGATTATAATCGAATGATGCATGTTTATTGAGTCAATTGAAGTCTGATCAACTTTTCCTGATTCCTGCTGCAATCTGAGATAGATAGAATCTGATTAGGTTGCTAGAGTCTCATCATTCGGTAGTAGGAGATTGGCTATACGAGAGTTAGCCAGTTTACTGCTTTGTACTGGAATCCAATTCCAGTAGTGGAGTTATGTGCTTATTGCTTCAGCTTTCTATCCTGGTGAAGACTAGTCGTCTGCCGGATAGTTAGACTGAGAGGGCTTGGTCAGCTTAAGAGATTCCAAGCTACTGTCGGATCTTCCGCAGTTTAATCAACAGTAAATCAACCAAAAGGAATTACAACTTGGACCTAATTGAGGAGCTAGGGGTAATCATACCTAAGTGAGTTCCCAAACTGTAATTAGTAGTTTTACTTAGTTTAGTTAGTAGAGTAGTTTAGTTAATCAATCCTTAATCTAGTTTGCTAGATAATGAACTGAAGCTGAGTAATAGTAACTCTAGAGACCCGTGGATACGATATTTATTACTTGTGCCACTATACTGCAGTCCCTTTCATTGGTTACACTTGGCCATTTTTAGGTGTTGTGTTTTAGAGCATCAAGTTTTTGGCGGCGTTGCCGGGGACTTTCTAGATTATTAGGAAAGGCAGAAGTTTGTTACTTTAGCGTTTTTTTCTTTTCTTTTCCACCCTTGCTTTTCACTTGGGTGTTTTTGTTTTTGTTGGTGCAGATCTGAATCATGGATCCTAATGGCTTCTCCAATCATTGGGGGTATCCACCACCATCCGGGTGGTATTACCCCGCAACTCCCTACAGCAATCAAGGAGGAGAAGACTATGGATTCGGGTTCCAGTACCAACCCCCTTACTACGGAGAACAATCAGACCCCTGGGCATATCAAGAACAACCTCATTACCAAGAAGACTTTCTCCCACAACCAGAAGGGCCATCGGAGCTGGAGTTACCCATGGCAGCCTTCACGGGCCACTCTGCAGAGCCATGCTACACTTCACTGGAGGATCCGAACGAACAATTAAGGCTTCTCGTGGAGCAGTTTGCTCGAGACACTGAGAAATCATGCTCCAAGATGGATATTCAAATCAAAGCCCTTGCCACTTACGATCCCTCATTTCTCCATGATATGGAGGAGACTGTTCAGCGCTCAGCGAAGCAAACAGAGTGGGTGAAGCAAGTTTGCTCACATCTTGCTCAAGATCACCTTTCTGCTGCCACGCTAGAAGAGGTGGAGGATGACAAAGGCTATGGGAGCGTTGAGGAGCATACAGAAGTTATCACAGAGAACTCCCATGATAACCATGATCAGGAAAGTCCTTTGGTTGCAGACCACACCTTTCCTCATTTATGCTCTAACATGCTGGGCCCGTGCGAGGAGATGCAAGATGATCCCATTGAAGAAATTGCTTGGCGACTTGCTCTCCAATTTGATCTAGAAGAAGAAGAGCGAGCAAGGATGAGGAAGGAAGTTGTGGATGATGAGGAAGAAAGAAAAGAAGAGGTGGTTCTTGATCTTTTCCCAGGGGAGAGACCACATTTTGAAGAAGGAAGGGGGGTTGAGGAAGCAATTGGCGTCCAGGCTGAGGATGAAGTTGAGGTGGAAGAGGCATGCACCGGCCATGAGTTGCAAGTAATATCCCCACCAAACTTTGAGGAACTGCTTGGCAAGGACCCATTTGCAGTGTCTCTTTGCCAGACCAAGGCCACATCGACATCGGTCCCTCTTGGTGGACGCGATGGTGGTCGGTCGATGCTGTCATATCTGGTTTGGGGCAATGAGATGAGAGAAGAGAAGAAGAGGTCTCGAGGGTGGAGACTTCATCTGCATCAAGTACATGAGCCTTCATCACCTGCCACACCACATGATCGTGACTTGAGACTCCACCTCATCGACGAGAACCTCAACTTCAAGGAGGTTCTAGCATGGACCGAAACTTAGGAGCCATCGTCCGGCTCACGACGTGAAAGAAGCGCTTGTTGGGAGGCAACCCAACCAGTCGGTTTGCATTTCTTTCTCTATTTCTCCTCGGTTGAGTCAGTTTTGTTATTTGATTTTAGAGTCAACCTTTGTGAGATTTTGTGTGGTGTTTGTGTTCTGATTACTCTCTCTTCCTGGAATGCACTGCCTGACCCGTACATCATCATTCACCCTTGATCTGGTAACTTCGTTCTACCCTCCTTATCTTTCCTCCATTGAGGACAATGTCGTGCTTAAGTGTGGGGGGGGTGTTCGATTATGTATGCGGGTGAATGTTTGGCTGTTTGTGTGCTTGGAGCCTAGTTCACTGTCCAAATTTTTAAATTTGAGGGCTCCAAGTATGTGTTTCCTTGCAAATTGCCTGCTCAGTATGCTTTGAATTGACAGTCTCTATAGTAATGTGCAACCTAGGGAGGTAGTGTAGCACTATGGAGGATGTTGAAGTATAAGATTTTTCCTATCTAGCTCTCTGTTGTGCCAGTTGATTTTGTGAATTAGTGGAGCTAAGACCGTTGAATTCATGTGGTAATGGTGACTCTGTTTGGATTATGTTATGGACTCGTGTATCGAACAGGGTGCTCATATGGAAAATGGGAAGCAGTTGGTCCTCCATGTCAAAATCATTAAATCTTAAACATGGGGTAAGCCCAACGTGTGCGGCACCGTTCATTGCACAAAATCGGGTTTTGGAAGAGATTTTAGTGATCCTTAGTGGGGTACTCCTACAAGGTGAAGCTAAGTTGTCTCTAGTACAAGTAAAACTTCCACCCGTTGAACGGTTTGCCTACTTGAGGATGTGTTTTTAAGGGCACGGATAGAGCTTCCGACCCCCCTTAATTTCATTGACCCTCCACACGAGTTGAGGAAAAGGAGTTAAAAGAAGTACTCTGGCGAGCTCCAGATGTACAGAAATTGCTCTTGCTCGACTAATAAGGGTCGACCGTGCAAAAGACTGCAGTTGGAACCCCACCAAATGAAAGAAAAAATGTAAATGAAAGTGAGAAAAAGGGGTTCCAACGGTGAAATGAAGTGAAAGAGCACCCCGGTACAACGAATCCTTGGTTGTGAATGGTGTGAGTCCCTTTATCCATGAACTGACTGTCTTACTTCTACTTTTTCTCATGATCCTGGCTTGAGTCTAGTACTCGCATTTAGAGAGATAGGGAACGTCTTAGAAGACCAGTTGACCTCGTAAGCTGCTATATGATCTAGGAAATCCTCTACCGACGATCGGGGTTGTATGTTGCTATAGAGCTCTGGAGAGCTGCATTGGTTTGAGTTAGGTTTGCTTGGGGACAAGCAAACAGTTAAGTGTGGGGGGATTTGATGACTCGGTATTTGCACATGTTTTCCCCTTTGTTTCTTGATTGTTTGAGCTTGAATTATCGTGTCTTTGGCCTATTTTACGCTAGGTTGTGTTTCTTTGTCACATTCCAGGTCCTAGCACATAAAGTGAAGCATAGGCGCAAGTTTCAAGTCAATCAGAGATCAATTGACGATTTGGGAGAAGAAACTCGGTTATGACCTGAAGAAGAATGGATTTCTACCTCACTTTATGGACAAAGAATCATGCAAGCTTGTCATGAAAAGAAAGAGGACGAGACTACGAGCGTCCGGAATCAAACGGCTACTGATTCGGAGTCCGGACGAGGGAGAAACGAAGCATTAAACAGAGGCTGAGCAAGCCACACGGGCACAACCCACACGGCCGTGTGACCTGGCCATGTGGCCGTGTGGAAATCACCGAGCCTTCACACGGGCTGCTGGGAAAGCCACACGGCCGTGTGGCCTGGCCGTGTGAGTCGGGAATTGCTTATTAAAACTCGATTTTCAGCAAAAGGAAAGGGGGAGAGCTGGGTTTTGAATCCCAAACACCCAAGGGACGAACCCTAGAGAGAGAGAGAGCGACTTGGGAACATTGTTAGAGCTATTTTGGAGGATTTCTTCGCCATTGGAGCTCGGGAATCAAGCTTGGAGATGGAGATTGAAGATCTAGATCAGATTTCTGCAGTCTCTCTCTTCTCTATGGAGTAACTTCCCTTCACTTAGGTTTTGAGGAACCTTAGTTCCATGAGTTAGGATCTTTCTTGTATGAAGTTTTGGATGCTATATTGTTTGATTATAATCGAATGATGCATGTTTATTGAGTCAATTGAAGTTTGATCAACTTTTCCTGATTCCTGCTGCAATCTGAGATAGATAGAATCTGATTAGGTTGCTAGAGTCTCATCATTCGGTAGTAGGAGATTGGCTATACGAGAGTTAGCCAGTTTACTGCTTTGTACTGGAATCCAATTCCAGTAGTGGAGTTATGTGCTTATTGCTTCAGCTTTCTATCCTGGTGAAGACTAGTCGTCTGCCGGATAGTTAGACTGAGAGGGATTGGTCAGCTTATGAGATTCCAAGCTACTGTCGGATCTTCCGCAGTTTAATCAACAGTAAATCAACCAAAAGGAATTACAACTTGGACCTAATTGAGGAGCTAGGGGGAATCATACCTAAGTGAGTTCCCAAACTGTAATTAGTAGTTTTACTTATTTTAGTTAGTAGAGTAGTTTAGTTAATCAATCCTTAATCTAGTTTGCTAGATAATGAACTGAAGTTGAGTAATAGTAACTCTAGAGACCCGTGGATTCGATATTTATTACTTGTGCCACTATACTGCAGTCCCTTTCATTGGTTACACTTGGCCATTGTTAGGTGTTGTGTTTTAGAGCATCAATGTTACTATGTCATGGTATGTTAAAGTCGATTGGTGCTATTTTAGGGAGAATTAATCCGTAATGGTTGAAAGGCCATTACCATTTTTTATTGGAGTTTCGGTGTGTGTTTAGGTGAAAAGATAGAGAAAATGACAGCACATGTGGACTTCAGAAGCAGTTGATGGAAGGAACAAAGCATTGGGCTCAAGCCCAATTTATGGACACGGAATTGGGCTTGGAGGATTTGGGCCAAGCAATTATTTGGACGGAGGCAACTGGGGACGAATTCTTCTCGGGGAGGAGATTCTTTTGGAAAAAGAAAAAGACACAGGACAGTAGAAAAATTTTGGGGGGGACGCAAGAATTGTTGGGCCAGATTATATGTGGAGGAAGAGAGAAGAAAGGGGATTTTTTTCGTCTTCTTTTGGCAGCAGGGACGGAAGGGAATTCTCGAGTAGAAAGGCAGCAGCAAGCAGCAGCACGCACAAGTCTGTTCGGAGAGCTGGTGATCGCCGCGATTGTTCAGCAACGCAGCTTGGGATTTATCGAGTATTATTGCCCCTTTATATTAATTAGTAGCATGATGATTATAAACATGATTGTGTGTTTTATCTTCATTATGCACTAAACCACAATTTCTGGGGTAAACACCATAGGATGTAGCTATTCTAGAATTGATGGATTGATTCGTATTTCTTTTCTTCCAATCTCTATTGCATGAAATTAGTTAATGCTTTGTCTTGACTGACCACCAATACAATGATTTGTTGTTAATTAGGTTATTAGCGACAGTGAGCCCTAATAAATGAACATATTTCATGTGACATAGTGACATATCGAAGCGACAGTGGATTAAATAAGGTACTATGCGGTCTTGATTGGGGTATCGTTCTTCAGGCTAAATAGTTAATTCATTGAGCTACGACAGTAGGATTTGAATTAATTGCTTAGTACGTAGTAACTCCCGACAGGGATAGCTAGCACAGTAGTGATATCCTGGCTGTAGAGGTATGGATTAAACTGATTAGAATACGTGAATTAATTTGGATATGATAGGTAGCGAGTCCCGGTGTTTCTCCCAGAGCTTTCTCCATTGAATTTCTCCCGACCATTTTACTTTGCTTAATTAGTTTATTTTGCTTTTAGATAATTAGTCTCATTAAACCATTTTCACCTATAGTTTGCTCTATAAATTGATAGAATAAAAGGTTGTACCAGTCCCTGAGAGACGATACCCGGACTTTCCGGTTTACTACGAGATAGGAATTGGCATATACGCTTTTGCCCTCTCAAGTTTTTGGCGCCGTTGCCGGGGACTGCCAAACCTTATTTTTGTTGATTTTTGTGAGTGAACTATTTTGATCTATGTTCTAGTGTGCAGGTGAATTTCAGGTTTATCCTCCTTGTGCATGCCTAGGAGGACGACCGACGATTTACTACCACTAGATCCGGAGATCGAGAAGACCTGCCAATAGAACAGGAAGCAGGTCAAGTTAGGGAAGCAGCCAACCACAACTCTGAGGCCTTCCCTAACCCATAATCGTCAACAGAGAGGGCAGGCTTCATCACCTGTCGTCCCTACACCACCGACACCACCACCACCACCTCGTGACATTGAGCTTGTCATCATGGCAGACGAGGATCGTTCTATCAGGGCTCGTTTGAATCAACGGACTGGAGCCCGAGCTTCATGTGTTGTCATTCCGGCTGGGGATGCAACCATGGAAATTACCCCAGCATTCATCAATATGATCACCAATGGGTACACTTTTTCAGGGGCTAGCAATGAGGATTCTCACGAACATCTTCGTCGGTTTGCGAGCATATGTGATACGATGAAGAGCCCTACAGGGTCTGATGATGCAATTCGCCTACGGATGTTCTCGTTCTCTCTGCTAGGGAATGCATCACACTGGTTCCAGAACTTAACACCACGTTCCATCACGACATGGGCTCAGCTTGAGAAGGTCTTTCTGGATAAATACTTCCCACCTGCCTTGGCAATGAAGAGGCAAGAGGAAATTGTTACTTTTAAGCAGGCTGATAATGAGAGTCTGACTGAGGCGTGGGAGCGCTATAAAGGCTATCGATGAGATGCCCAAGCCATGGTTTTGAAGATTGGAACGTGATCATTATTTTCTTCAACGAAATCAGAAGGGAGTTTCGGGATGCCCTAAATAATGCTTCTCGAAATGGTTTCACAAGGATGGAGGCTCCAGCAGCATATGAACTGGTAGAGAAGATCTGTGCAGAAGCCACTGAATGGGGTAGTCAGACCAGTATTCGAAGAAGAGGAGGCTTGCATGAGATAAACAAAGTTGCAAGTCTAGAAGCCAAGATAGATGCCAAGCTGGATTCTAAGTTCGATGCACTCGAACGAAGGCTGGCCAAGATTGCTCTGGGTAGACAAGAGGATCTTGTTTCATGTGAACTTTGCGAGGGTCCTCATCATAGGGATATGTGTCCACTGGGAGCTGCTCAGTTGGAAGATGTCCAATATATCAATAATCCGCGAAGTCAATGCCAGGGTGGTATGTATTCACATACATACAAACCTCAATGGAGACATCACCCCAATATGTCATGGTCAAACAATAATCCAGCTGGTGTTCGAAACATCCCACCTCCTGGTTTTCAACAGCAGCAACCTCAACCAGAGAAGAAGCCCCAACTGGAAGAGTTGATTTTGGCTCATATGCAGAAAACGGACAATAATTTCAAGGGTCTTGATCAATTTTTCACTCAACAGCTAGCCATCAACAACAATATGCAATCATCTATGCTAGCTATGGAGAGGCAAATAGGCCAGATGGCTCAAACTTTGGCAGATATTCAAGATAGGATTACCGGGACTTTACCTGCAAATACAGAGAGAAATCCAAAGGATGCTATGGTTGTAGCAGTCACGTTGAGGGGTGGAAAGGCCTTGGAGGATCCAGA